CGAGGACGCAATGAAAACAGGGCGAGTCTGCTCTCTGCGCTGAAAGAAGCACATCTGCTAATGAAAGCACTAATTCCACCCTGAGAAGATGTTGTGCAGCGCAGCAGCTCAGGGTTCCCGTTTCATTTCCACTCTTGTTTTATGCAGCAGTGGAGCTGGAGGGTGAGTTTAGTTTTGGCTCCACGGGCGCCTCTGTTTTGGTCTTTGTTACGAGTTGGAGCACAGGAAGCAGCGCTGAAGGTTTCCTCCCCTTTCTAGAGATTATAACCACAACATTGAGACAGAATTTCTGGTTCCAGCGATTTCTGGTCAAATTAAGAGTGAAATTAAAGTTCTCCGCTGAGCCGCTCGGCTGCAGAAGTGGGATGTAGGAGACAAAGGGAGAAACAAGGAGGTGCTTCCTAAAAGCTGCCGTCGCCCCAAATCTGAGGAGCTTGAATTTTACTTTGAAAAAATAAAAAATAAAAGTCACATCTCATTTAAAATTCACAGATGGTGAACACGTGAGACAGAAAACAGCAGCGCGACGCAGACGCCGCATAATAACCACGTATTATTCATACCTTCCCGGCAGCGCCAGCAAACCAGAGAGGAACCAAACGGAGATCAACAATAACAAGACGACTTGCTCGGCTGCTTTCATTAAAAGTCCAGCGAGCAGAAACGAGCCGCCGCGGCGGAAAACAATATCATCACAATTCGAAACGCACGCAGGGAAATAATGACACGGGCTCCGGGAGCGTGTTCCCCTCATCCAGCAGATGAAATAAATAACAAATAACGCAGCACAATAACAGTCGGTGGGGAAAGGTTGGGACTCTTCTGCAGAGGCGGATAACGAAAGACGGTGGGAAGAGTATTCAGAGCGTTCTGGTGAATGAAACCGCTCATGCATCCAATCTGTGACAAATGTCTTGTTTGTTTTTTTTCCCTCATTGTGAAATAGTAAATTTTGGAGGCATTAGGCTCCCGCTAATAACTGTAATCAAGTAAAATAGCTGGAGGCAAAAAATAATGATCAATCCTCAGCTGTCAAAGTTCAACAACGCTGCAATTTGGGAGGAAGATTTGAGAACAAAAGGATTTGAGGGGCAGCGCAGGCCGTGGAGACACACTGACCCGTCTTGCGTTTGGCGATGCCGGTGGGCGAGATTTGGGTCCCAGGCGGAGCAGAAGAGGCCGGAGCGGCGGGCGCGGCGGGCGCGGCGGGCGCAGGTGGAGGAGACACGGGGGCGGGAACCGCCTTGATGACGTCGTCCTTCTGAAAGAGACGAGGCGCGTTGGTTTAGTCCTCGCTGTGATGGCGACGCGGCGGAAGCACCGGCGGGAAACGGAGAGAATCGTCCGGCTCGACCGTCCCTCCCAGAAGGAATTTCGGTTTTAAACGGGTTGAGAAAGAGGAACAAATCACTTGACTTTTAAAACACGGAGCGGCTGAATGAAAAACACGCAGATGGTAGAAGTCTCAACGCAAACAATAAATAATAAAAAGCAGTTGGGAAAAATATACTGCAGAACCCGAACAAGAGGCACCTCCGCCAGAGAGGAAACTAGCTTGTTGTTCAGAGAGTCCGCGTTGCTTCCCTCACTTAATCGTCGACGTGAGTCGTTCTTGCGTGAACTAAAATCTGCAAAATCCCTTATGAGCCATCAGTAACGGTGCAGCCGCCCCCCCCGAGCACTGCAGCACAGGGCGGCTAATCTACATGTAGCTTGACTCCAGGTGAGGATGAGGATGACCTTGATGAAGGTCTCACGTTAGAGTTGTTCTTCATACTTCAGGAGGAACTTCTAGGAGATGCAAAAAGAGACAATCTACACAAACTATTATTACACACATTTTCTTCGGCGGCGGCGAGCAACGGATGCAGCAAATAGAAAGTGGGATGGGAGGAAATCAGGACAGACAGAATGGAAGAGGACTTCTGATTGTTTTTCCCTTTTCTCCATAAACCTTGAATCCGGACTCTGAAGTCGGGATTGCAGGCGTTAAATCTCTCTCTGCATCCGCTCGGAGCGCCCGTGACCAGAGTCTCCTCTGCTCCCTCTGCGAGAACCACCGCTCCTCGCAGGCTTTTTGTTTTACATTTCACAGCCCACCGGCGGAACAAAAGGAGGACAAAAAAGGGATGAATCGCGGCTAAAAATAATCATCAGTGGCGCCGCGTCCACCACACGAGAGCCGCTCCGCTCGAGGGGACTAATCGTGACTAATTATTGACGTATTACGAGCAGAATGAACGGGGCGGCGAAGAGGTGTTCATCAAGCAACAGGTGACCATCGGCTCTTTTCATTGCGCGGTGATTCACGTTAGAATTGCTGCCTTTGTTGCATAAACAACGGGCGCCGTCCGGCCTCCGGGGGCCCCAACCGACAACGACGACGACGCGGGGGGAGAAACATCTGTGGCCCTTTGACTTCCTTTTCATATTTGCTTTGTTTGTTGACGTAAAAGTGCAAATAATTTACCTTTAAACGATGTGAAATGAGGACGACTCGGGACGTCTTTTACCTTTTCTTTCGTATCGAGGGCTTCTTCGTCTCCTTGTCCTCTGTGGGCCACTTGGTCCTTGGCGGCGGGGCTCTCGTCCTCCTCCTCGTCGCTGTCCAGGATCTGGCGGCTGCGTTTGGCGACCCTCTTGACGGGCGAGTCGGCTTCCTGGGCGCCGTTCTGCACCTTGAGAGGGCTTTTGACGGGTCTGGAAGACGAGCGCAGGAAAAAAAAACGGTGTTTCCAGACAGCAGCGAGGGACAGAGGAAAGAATCGAGGCGAGAGGGATGAAAGAGGTCGAAGCGACGATGGAGAGACATCTTTACCTGTAGACAAGAGGCCCTCAGGATGATAGTGGGGCGATAATGAGCACCATCACTACCTCTACAGAGGGACTCAAAGACAATCGCACGTATTCACGCTGTCAGTGGAGCCGCAACGAGACAAAATATTATTCTTCACGTCCTGACACCGCCGGGAAGCGTGTGTGTTTTCTTCTGTTATTAATGTCGTGCAAGTAAAAAGTACACCGTCACAGGACGGAGTTCTGCACGTCCGCTCCTCCGTCAGCTGGGTGGAGTAAACAAACGTGACACGGAGGGGAGAAAAGGGGGCACGCTTACTTTTTCAGGGGTCCATCCGAGGCTTTCTTCTGGGGGCCCTTGTCCCTGCACTTGGGCTGAAAGAAGGACCTGATGGACGAACGCAGGGGGAACGTTTAGAGGCGCGACGTGACGTCATCCAACGACTCGTCGTTCAGGTGCATAGTTGGTTAACCTGACGCGTTAACCAAGTTAACCCGACGTTAGCTAAGTCAGCTAGCCACACGCAACGTCGGCTCGTGTTTTGGTCCTTCGTTCGCGTGTCGCGTCGCAACGAATAAGCTGCGTAAAGTTTAACGTTTTAAGGCGACGTCACGTGGAGGATCTTTCCCTAAAAACAGACTAACGTTAGTTTGTGCTAATGCTAACTGTTGCGGCTAGCACTGGGATTAAGCTAACGTTACATCACTCAGGCACTTTGACTCTATATGTCTCACAATAAACTTGACTACACAACGTTAGTTGGTTATTTAACGCTAATAGTCAGAAAGTCTACAAACTACTGCTAACATTTACACCCCCCCTCCCTCCATTATCGTTGCTGAATACAAACTACAGTAAGCTATAAACTTTGGACTCACGCAATGCTCCGCTGCATGTTGTCGTCAAACGGTTCCTTCGGATATAGATACGCAATTAATATTAACGTTATTGTTTAAAAGGCAAGAACAGGGTCCAACATCCACACACGGAAACACGAACTCCCGCGCTGCAGAATGAGCAAAAACTACTTAGAATATTCGGCGGCAAAACTACATTTGAAGCAAAGATCGTAAAGTGAAGAAGACGGAGTCACTCGCTTATTAAATCTGGTCCCTTTTCCGATCAGTTTATCCTTTATGGATTGGATAAGTCTCCTCTGATAGACTAATTTTGTACAGTGGACAGGAAAAAAAGATGATGTATCGTTGATACAGTGTTCAATATAATACAACACTGCAATTAACTAATACGGTGAGGAAGTCCAATATAATCCGTTTAATTTCACAATATTTGCAAAATTGTGCAAAACGTCAATATTCGGTTATTGTGAAGGCATGTACAAATTCCATAGATTAAAAGTGGTGTCTCTTTAAAATACTATTTCAATAACAAACTAATAATTACTGAAATATGCACGTTAACTCAAATAACTGACAAAAAAATTCTGAGTAATAAGATAAGATATTTTCTCAAGTCCATGTTTGATGTGTAAAAGTGAAGCCTATCCTGCAGTTTTCACAGAATTATTTTGATTAAATGTTGCAGGAAAAAAACTACGAAGTGATACATCTTACATCTTCTGCCACATCTCTGCGACGATCCTCTGCCGGCAGGGAAAGTGTGTTTTGTGTGACGCCGAAGCGGCCGCTGCCCCCTGCTGAGTCGGAGTGGAACCGCACACACCCCCGGTGGCTGGTCCTGATGCTGCGAGGAGGACGCGAAAGACCCTTGGAGCTCCTCCTCATGGAAGTGTCACCGTGTCTTTGTGAACGTACCATTCGTGCAGCTCTTACTTCCATGGAGTCAAGGGGAGAATGTAAGACAAGCTGCTGGATAATTTAAGTTAAGTGCACTGCTTTATTTACTCAAACAGCAGCGTCATGCTGTTAATTACAAGTGCAATTCCCCGACTGTGGCCTGAAGTGCTGACAGGTGCAAGCTTCTTCTTTAGTATTTCTATCAAAAATAAGAACACTGAAATCATGGTCAGACTTAATAGATAAAATGAATAACAAACTAGTGTACAATGAGCTAAAACACACACACTCAAAGGGGTGTATTTGACAGATCGCAGGAGTCAAAGCAGTGCGTCGGTTGTGGTTTGCTCCTCCGTCTCCCTCTCTCCGCTCCGTCCGTGTGAAACTATCGACCCTCCTCTCTTCTTCTTGAATTTCAGTCTGCCTTCACTCCAGCGAACAGGTTTTCACTGATGGGCCGAGGGGATGGGCGGGAGGACCGAGTCCCCCGGGTGGCCCCCCTGACGCGCGGCGGAGATGAAGGGGAAGTGGCCGGGTAGTGCTCGAGGCGTCGGGATGGGCTTGGGGAGGCAGCACGGGAGCAAGAAGGGGGGAGGGACCAACACTGAGTGAGAGAGAGAGAGACATCAATCATAGTAATAATTTCATTCATCTATATTCCAGAATGAACTTGAAGCATTAAAACGGGCCTCAAATCAAATCGTCATTCGCAGCTGAATGAGAAGTGTCTGTTTCACCTTGCTGGCCATCGCTGCACGATGTCACTCAGACGATTTAGATTTTTTTACGGCGGAAGTTATGAACGGAAAAAAATAATAATTACAATTTGAAAGTTCATTCTTGACCTTGGAAACCAAGAAAAAAACAAAAAAAAAACTCAATGTTCACGCAGGGGCTTCAAACAGCTGTCTCCATGGCAACTGAAAACTCTGCACAGGAATGCTGAAATACGGTTGAAAGCTCGAGTAAGGGGAAGTTAAGAAAATCAAATTTCATATGTCTTCTATTAAATTCGGTTTATTTTGCTAAACTTAAAGCTGAACATTTGAAGTAGTTTGTTGATGAGATTCCAACCAGCGGCCCTTTAAATAATAAACAAACCCCGGCAGTTACTTCAGCTTCTACGGCACAGAAGAGTTTCACCCCAGAGGCCTTATTCATTTTGAAAAACACAATTTCTGTCTCCAAGGTCAAGACTCGCCCCCCCCCCCACAACACCTGTTCCACCTTAAAACGGAACCAATAAATAAACTAGTGAGCCGCAGTAAAAAAGCAATTTCTTCGCGACTCAAACGAAAAGAAACTCTCAGGACATCGCAAATCGAAAGGATCCAACATATTGATTCTTTATAACTACTGTCTGTCACTCTTCTACCTCTCTGAGCTGCAATATTGTCCAAACAATAAAAAAAAACATCAACAACAACGCGTGATTTCCTGCTGACTGCTACAAAACGCACGACGAGCGTGTGTCGATCCACACAATCCACTCCTGTGAGTACAAAAAAGAACTACTCTAGTTTGGTAGCAATGAGGCTTCATATTTCAGATCTAAGCCCCTCCCTTTGGTGGCGGCCCTCTGATCTAAGCCCCTCCCTTTGGTGGCGGCCCTCGGCTCTAAGCCCCTCCCTTCGGTGGCGGCCCTCGGCTCTAAGCCCCTCCCTTTGGTGGTGGCCCTCGGATCTAAGCCCCTCCCTTTGGTGGCGGCCCTCGGATCTAAGCCCCTCCCTTTGGTGCCGGCCCTCGGATCGAAGCCCCTCCCTTTGGTGCCGGCCCTCGGATCGAAGCCCCTCCCTTCGGTGGCGGCCCTCGGATCCAGTACAAAAGAGGCGGGGCCTCACAGGTGCTCTTTACCTGCGTTGCTCGCCGAGAGGGCGCCTCCACACGGAGGAAGACCCCCGCAGCCCGGGTGGAGGGGGAAGGGAAGGGAGCCGCTCGGCGCCAGCTGGAGGGGTGGAGGATGAGATGGAGGCATGCGCGGGTTGAAATGGGTTCAATGCATTACACGTCTTTGTCTCTCTGTGTCTTTAAATATGCTGTACATCAGCTGGGAGGAGGGAGACACAATGGAACCGGCACTTCAGATGATTAAAACGGTAATAACGCGGGACGGCCTAACTGAGGTTTTGCACACTGGTGGCCTCGTTTAAAGTTTAAAATATTTAGAAAGAGGACCAGATTACAGTGCATGATATTAAGAGTTTTATTCCAAACCGGGAGTGCAATTCACAGGCTCTAATGGTAAATCTTTAAATAGACTGCACTTTTCCACTTTAATTATAAATGACGGCGCTTTCTAAAGGAGGCAACGTGTGGACGGGATATAACGTTGACACAATAACTCTCCTCCACTATTTTAAATTAAATGATAAAGTTTCAGAAATGATTTCAATTTAAGTCAACCATTTTAAATTATAAAGTCAAAGTAATTGTTTCTGAGAAAGTCGGCCCATTTTAATTGAATGATACTGTGATTTCAGAATAAAACTCTCCTTAACAGACTCCTAAAACTACAAAAGCGACATTTCAATAACCTTTAATAACCATTTCATATAGAAGATTTTATGCCATTTTTCCAAACAGCGGAGTCCTTTAAGTAGTGATATGAAGTAAAGATGTGGCGATGACCTGGTGGCTGGGTGGAGCTGGAGGCGGAGCAGGTGGAGGCGAGCAGCCCGGATAGTTGACCAGGATCAGTTTGCTGAAGTTGAACTTGTAGGTGAATCTCTTTCCTTTGGTCTTGTTCAGGATGCGTTTGTTGTAGTAGTATCTGGAAGTACAACGTTTCCTGTGTGAGACTACGCTCCGATGTGTGCGCGCGCGTGTGTGTGTGTGTGTGTGTGTGTGTGTGTGTTTGTGTGTGTCTGGTGTGCCCTCATGTTTCTGTAGGACGCTGTTTTAAAATTTCATTTGACAACAAATGTTTGCGAGCAGAACGTTTTAGCTGCAGCATCAGCCGGAGGGAGAAGCTGCACTGAGTGTGTGTGTGTGTGTGTTTGTGTGTGTGTGTGTGAGTGTGTGTGTGCGTGTGCGTGTGTGTGTCGAGCGATGTCACCTCAGCGCCCGGCTGAGCTTGTCGTAGTTCATGTGCGGCTTGCCCTTCCTCTCCTCCCACAGCCTGGCCAGCCTCTCGGGGTCCCGGATGACGAACTCGCTCCACTCGCCCCCCTAGCATGAGGACCCTACATTTGCGCGCGCCGTACACATGAGGAAAGAAATCATCCGCGTGCATGCTGTTCAATGCGGGCTTTCAGAGTGAGTGTCATCACCACACCCGGAGACGCAGCCCTTTTTCAGACTTGGAGGGGAAAACGGGGGGGACACGGGGGGGGGCCCCAGTGTGGTGAAGCCCACCCGGGGGGGGTTTTTTTGGGGCGCCAAAAAATCGGACTTCAGGGGGAATTTGGGGGTCTTTGAAAATGATTTTGGGGGAACCCACTTTTTTTTTAGGGAAATAAAAAGGTTTTTCCTGTTTTAACCCCCCCCCCCCCCCCCCCGCCCCCCCCTCCCTCCTTCAGAACAACAAAGTGCTCCTCATATAACTGCGTGTTCCAGATGTCATCATCGCAGACTCCTGCGTCAAATCAAACTGCGGTTTTCCTTTTTTCTCGTCATTTGTTAATGAGTTGTGTGTCACAAATGGCTTCTGCGTAGAGTAATGTGTTAATATTTCTGAATACTTCTGTCATTCTGTGAGTTCTTCATTCTAGGAGGACAATTACAAGCTCGTCGCGTCGACGACATTATTATTCGTCCCAAAGCTTCGTCTTTTTTAACCTGTCATTTCTCCATTCTCACTTATTTCATTCATTCTCTCATTACACACGGGGCCTTTGAGCGGCTCTTATATCTCAGACAGGTGGATGATCTTGTGTAATATGACGCATCGCTTCTGATTAACCCAACAGTGTCACCATGATGGAGCCAAACGCAGCAGTGAGGCAGCTGAAGGCTGATGCACACCGACGAGAACGGCCGCGTGAAATATGAAAGTTCTCCCGACAAACCCGCTGGTGTCCACGCACACTTACTTCTGCTCCAGTAAGGCGCTGAAAGGCGTCCTGCCGAGGAGCTGCAGCTGCACTGCATCTTTAAAAAAACAAAACAACAACACAAAACCAAGCGCTCAGCATCTTCATCACCGGGATCATCGTCAGACATATGAATGTGCTGTTAAATTATCCATCGCAGCAGAGCAACGATGTATTACAGCCGCGTCTGCACTTAATATCACTTATAGAAGTACGGCGTCTTCGCGCCTCGGGGGAACGACAAACAAGCCGGGCTCTCCAGACTGCACGTCACACCATGTCCACGTCGTCAATAGTGAGAGGAAGGTTCATAGATCCTCGCTCATAACGTGCTGGAGATCAGGTTTAATTCAACAGCTCGTCACACTACGCTAGCGTTTGTGTAGCTTTTGTGTCTCCCTGCAGATAAAATGCACACAGACACACAATGACCTTCCCCGGCGATTGGGCACAGCGGAGGCCGCCCGCCGGCTTCCCTGCAAGGCTGAAAAATAATCTCCTCAAGAAGTGCTTGGCCTAACGCTTTCCCCCGCTGAACGATGTCTGCTCTGCTGTAAGTCCTCCTCCAGCAGCTGGAACATCCTCTTATCTTGGAGCAACAAAAAAAAGAAACGTATTGTATTCCTCAGAAAACACTGCGGGGACACCTGGGACATCATCGGGACACTTAGAGGAGCTGAGCCAGAGAACATTTCTACATTAAAGACGCCGTTTGGACGAAAGGCCCAGAAAAAAAAGCATAACACTGCACAGTGAATAAAAGCAAATTATATGTTTTTATCCAAAAGTTGACTCCGGCAGTTGCGTTTCTCCCTTTTTATTGTCTCTTTTGTTGGTCCTCTACAAATTGGAGCTCGTCCCGCTCGAGCATCGGCTAAGTGCCTGAACACACAAATCAAAGTCCTCCATCAGTCCCCCGACGGGCAGAACTGCTCCGAACGCCACAATTAAAAAACGACAAGTGGGAATCAGCCCGTCAGTCAGCCGCAGAGCCGGAGAGTTTATTTCCTTAATACTCCACGACTGGTTGGACTCACAGAATTCTGCCCCGCAAAGGCCCGGCTCACAGAGAGTTATTGGATCGCTGGTGTTACCTTGAGCAGCAGAGGAGGAAGCTTCCTTCGATCGGGCCGCCTCAGGTCTGTGAGCTCTGAGGGCTGGATGGACCGAATCCTAGACCCTCTGTCTCATCTCACCCTAACCGCACACACACACACACACACACACACGCACACACACACACACCTCCCTCCTCCGCCTCCTACCACCTCCCTCCCTTTCTCCCCCATCCCAGAAATAAGGGGACTAAAGGTCAAAACCAGAACATCTTGTTATTGTTGAGGCCTTGGATGGAAAAGTGATGAAAGCAACTGAAAGGTTTTCTTGGAAATTGAGATCAATCAATAAGCTGATGAATCGATTATTATGAGCAACAGAAAACGAATCAACGACACCTTTTGATCTAATTATAATCAACTTTTATCTATAACAGAATAATCGATTAATTCCATTTTGATTGATGGAGGTTAATTAATCAAGAAAACATATTTGTCTTATTTTATTTATTTTATATATTTTTGATACTTTGATTTGACACTTTTCACTTTGTCTCGATATTCAATTCATTAAAGAATCAATTATCCCTTAACTTGTAAACCTGCAGCAGCTCAGATGTTGTTTATTTTGGGGAACCGCTGTCCCCAGTGAGGGCGAGACGGGTCGGACCGCGGGGGGGGGGGGGGGGGTGAAGGCGCGCTAACACGTGGTGGAAAGGCGCGTTTCACAGCCAGGAACGACCTTGGCGGAGGTCAGCGGGCCGTTAAGGTCATATATATATATATATTTATATTCTGTTATCTGACTGGGGGAACCGGCCGAATGTGAACGCGTGTCGGACGAGGTGATTTCGGCGAGGAGCCGGTTACAGGATCATTCTGGACGACTTAACCCGGACAAAGTGTTTGTGCGTGGATTATCCGTGGTTTAGTTTTCACTGAAGCTGAGGAGGAGACAGACGGGGAAGCTCCCAGCAGCAATCCATTTAGGCTTATGATATACATGCATTCGCCCTCTAGAACACACACACACACGCACACACACACTTATTGCACCTCAGATGTGATCTGACACCGGAGGCTTTTAATTCCAGTGTACATACAAATACTCTCCCAGACAGCTATCAATTATGTATGCCGCTAATTGAGTTGAATGTTGTGCTTTCAGCAGCCTGGGGACCCTGGGTCACATGCAGAAAGCCTGGAACCAAACACACACACACACACACACACACACACACACACACACACAGGCCTACATACTTGCACTTCTATATACTTGTGAGGACGGCATCATGCATGTCCTCGTTAGCGCGCACCGTGGCAGGCGTAGCATCGATTTAGCACGTGTTTGCACGTCTGTGACATGTTAAGAGTCGCTGAGGATGATTCAGAAAGGCCTGTTTTCACGCCGTGGGAGACCTCGGGCTCACACACACGTCCATGTGGCGTGGAGATCCATTAGCATCAAAGTCGACACTCAAGCCTGTACTTGTGTTGGTGGGTGTCGGATGTGTCCGCGCTGAAGCTGCATTTCCACGTAACAAACGGACTGATTTTGAGAGAGAAAACAAAAGGCTCCAGATGTGTGACGGATCTTCACTGCGAGGGATTACTCGCGTCGATGTGTTTCTGCAAACACAAAAATAGACAGGAATGCTTTAGAAACTCACTCCTTCAAACAATCTGCAGATTCGCTCGGTTCGTTTCCTCCGTTGTGTTTTAAACTGCAACACAGCGCGGAAGCCGCTCTAATCGAGGAAAACCGAGCCAAAGCTCGCCGATGGAGACGTGACACCGTCGACAGAGAGGACGTCGTGTGTGTGTCCGTCGTCCTCCTGCTCCAACCCTCAGAAGGCCCTTTGAGAGGAGAGCGGCGACGTGACGAAATCCTTCCCCGATCTCTACAACTAAAACTCAAATTGATGCTCTCAGAGAGAGAGTACTCAAACACACACACACACACTCCCATATATAATAGCAGCACTGCTGGTGCTCCCCCACACCCACAACAAGGCGAAGGCCTCCCAGTGAGTATAAAGGCTGACAGTTTGGAAATGGAGCTTTTTTTGGACTGATGCAGCCGCCCAGGCACCCCCGCGACAGAGAGAGAGAGAGGGGTGGGGGGGGAGAGAGAGAGGGGGAGAGAGAGAGAGAGAGATTTAAACAGAGTATTGAAGCGAGCGCTGTTGTCGGGGGAATATTACTGTGGAGATGTAGTATAAACACCGAGTTGGAAAAGGGATGAATAAAAACCCCTCTCCTCTGTAGCGTTCCTGGGCCAGATATTAGCCCGGTCCATCACCGACAGACGGCGCGCAGGAAAAAAAAAAAAAAGAAACTAATATAATGAATCTGCCGGGGGCCTAATCAAACTTCACATTCCCCGAAGGGCAATTTAGGCAGACGGGAATTTGCTTTTCCACCCAGATTGTCATCCTCTTTTCTCCTCTCTTTCAGCATGCGGTATTATCCGCCCTGTAAAGAGCCGTGTGTTTGTGTGGATGAGGAGAGGGGGGGGGGGGGGGGGAACGGGTTTTGGGGGGGACGGGGGTTAAGTCTGGATCTGATCCCTGCTAAAAGGACTGTTTGTTTTACAGCTGACGACCCCGGAGTTTAATCTGCTGCTTAGCCGCCCGCTCAATCTCTCCTCTCCTTCGTCTCCCTGCGTCCTCTCCTCCTCCCTGCCCTTCTCTCTTCCCTTCATCTCTCTCTCTCGCTCTCACTCACTCGTATCATCCTCTCTCAGCGAATTACCCCACCCCCTCCTTCCTCCTCAGTCATCATCATCCTCCCTGCATCCCTTGTCAGCTCCTTATTTCTCTCCTTATTTCTTGGTGGCGCCGGCGGCGTTTCTTAGCGTTTCCTTCACGACTCGCATTGAAGCGGATCCATCAGGTTGCGCGTTGTGCGTTGATTTAAGCGGCGTTACATCACACTGTGCGGTGGGCGGGTGTGGGAGGACGGGAAGGAGTGCAGCGATGGTTTCAGGGGCCCTGAAATGTGTGTGTGTCAGGGGGACAATAGGGAGAGTGTATGTTAAACTGGATGATAGTGTTGGAGCAGATGAAGGTCATGCTCCGGGACTTAAGGGTCGAATCCGGTTAGAAGTAAGAGGGATCAAGGCTTTAGAAAGTCACTGCCTTTTTTTTTTTTTTTTACTGCTGCAATATTTCCTGAGTCTGTGCAAGAGGAGCTCGGTGAGTGTGTGAGAGAGACATTTAGAGTGTGTGGAACAACGTAAAACAGCTTTGATTTGATTGAGTTCTGTTAAAACATGTAAAGCAATGAAACAGAGGCAGCCAATTTAAATCTGTAATTATTGATTAGTGACGGTTGGGCTCATTTTCGCTAATTGATGTCATTTTGATATCATTTTTATATTAATCTGAATATGCAATGCAACAATTAACTAGAACTGTCAATTACATGCAGTGGTGGAAAGGGTAGTTTTTGGATCTTGAATTTATTTTGTAAATATTTGCCCAAAATAGAAATAGGCCCACTCAGGTAAAACATAAAGTCACATGACTGTGAAAAGAATTAAAAGGGTCAGTTCACCCCAAAATCAAAAATACGTTTTTGTTTGTTCCTAAAGTGCTTCACAGAGACTCAGATTGTTTTGATGCCTGGAGATGTTTCTCTTCTCTTCAGCACAACATTAGCAGAGATGCTACGTCAGCTAGAGACGCCGCGTGAGCCAGCAGAGATGCTACAGGAACTAGTAGAGATGCTAAGTGAGCTAGCAGAGACGCCGCGTGAGCTAGCAGAGGTGCTACAGGAACTAGCAGAGATGCTACAGGAACTAGCAGAGATGCTACGTGAGCTAGCAGAGACGCCGCGTGAGCTAGCAGAGGTGCTACAGGAACTAGCAGAGATTCTATGTGAGCTAGCAGAGATGCTACAGGAACTAGCAGAGATGCTACGTGAGCTAGCAGAGACGGCGCGTGAGCTAGCAGAGGTGCTACAGGAACTAGCAGAGATGCTATGTGAGCTAGCAGAGATGCTACAGGAACTAGCAGAGATGCTACGTGAGCTAGCAGAGACGCCGTGTGAGCTAGCAGAGATGCCGCGTGAGCTAGCAGTATCGGGTGTAGCTGCTAGCTCCAATCATCTGAAACGTCAACAAAACTGTAGCCTTTTTTTGTCATAATTCAACCTCATATTTTCTCATATATTGTATTGTATATATGTAATTTGTGTGTTTTCATTTTTTAACTATCCAAAAGAAAAAATAAAAGAGGACGATGATGATGA